GCATTCTTTCTTGTTGCATTTGCATAATTTGCTACTTCACATCCTTGTTTATATATTTACCAGTCAGCTCAGGTGTCCAAGCAATTACAATAACAGACAAACTTGTAATACACAGTAAATACTATATCATGAGGTACAAAGTATTGCCACATGGGTTCAGACCCTAATCCAGTATCCAGTAAACTCAGGAAGAAGATTTCATTGGGCTCAACACATTTTTCACTGAATCTTTACTTGCAGTAGAACTTTTTTTGGAAGACAAATCACATGATTAAAATTCAAGTGACGTACATGACTGGTGTGGACAAGCGACATCATTTCTCACAGGTATTGAATCTTCTACACCACCACGTTTTTGGTCTTGAACCACAAAACCCAAAGTAGTTGCTGATAACATCTACTTTTGCTCAGCTGAATGAATATTGAAGCTTGTGTTTCACTGACTTCCATGTTGTGTTAACACCAAAGAAATGTAATATTTTTAAGCAGCACAAGAACTTCTTAAAGAGAAAAACATTTGGCAACAATGTGCTTTTTACAGTCAGGGTGTCTTACAGTTGTCATGATTGAGCTTGGGAGTGGGACCAAGAACTCTGGCTTTTCTGGACTTTCTGTGTGGCCTTGGAGAAGTTACTTGACCTCTTTGTAGGGAGGATTCAAGTACATCTGGAGCTTTCTTGAATTTATGTCCTTGTAATCATCTGTCTGCCTCAGTCCGCATTTGTCAAGATGGAGCGGAGGGAATGGGAAGGATCAGAACAATCTCTGCTATCTTAATGCCTTACATACTCCCAGTCCTCCTAAAATAAGTGCTCAAATTCTTTGTGGCAAAAGACAGACTGCTGGGATTCCTTCTTCTCTGGCAAATGCTTTCATCCCTTGGATGCATAACTGTTGGAGCAATGGGAGAACTTGTTTTCAGCACTGACAACAGAACATTTTCAGACTTCTGTGTGTACTCACCCAGATTTTAGGCTGTTCTTTGCTTAAACCCGGATCCCAAAAAAAGCTCTTGGTGTGATGGAATCAATTCTTACTAACAGACACCTCAAGTTAATTATCAAGGAGGTGACTAGTGGGTTTATGTGTCTACAAGTCAATGCTAGAAAATAGTTGGCCCAGGTATCTGTCTGGGACTTTTTTGCATAATTGCATGGTTACTAACCTTGCTAAGCTGGGATCGCTTTAGGTGAGATTAAGGTAGCCTGGGTAGTACTCATGACATTTAGTTTGCTCTTGTCACTCACAAATGGTACAGAGGAAGCTTTTAGCTGAGAAATCAAATGAAATGGTGCATAAGTTTTTGGTGTAGGGTGCTAAGGTACTGTTTTAATATTTTAGGAAAGGTTACCAAGGCAGCGGATGGAGAAGCTGTACTGTTTAAAGAGAAGGGAGATGAAAATAGAACCTGACAGTCTAGGTAATTTAATTAATGAAATAACAATAACAAATACTCTTGAACGGAGGTTGGATCAGGTGAAAATTCTCGTTAGGCTGCTCAATTTTTGGTGAGTAATTACCACAGTAAGAGCAAAATATCTCCTTTCCTGTGAGTTGGCTAAGCAGAAGAGAGCCACTACTCTGGCTGAAATAGCCATTAATGGAAAAATTATGTCTTGAACCTCTGATGCGTTTGAAAAGTGAGAGAACATTTCTTTCCTGTTGACAGACTGGAAGTCAATTGAGAATTAAATGCATAGAAAAAAGATTAATATCCTGAACCTGCACATTTTGTTATGCAAGTAGACTACTTCTCTAAACTGGCCTCTGTTAAAATCCCTCACTTTCCTGAGGACAAGCAGTTGAAAGCTTGCGCATCAAGTTCTGCTCTGTCCCACCCAATATCCCTCACGTCCCATGTTCTTTCTCTCTGCATCCCAACCTAAGACCAGTGCAGTCTTTTGCACTTCAATCTGTTGGCCTTTTCCCTGGAACCAGGATTCTTTAATTTCTTGAAAGATGTAGCGTCTCCCTCACATTCTCCACCTTACCTGATAATCCAGAAGACATTTTTTCTGCACTGCTTTAAAATGCCCAGGTTTCAACTCATCTTGAAAACCAAGCAATGATTAAAACCCCAGTTTGCTCCTTGACCTTTTCATTTGCTCCAATTAATTTTTCTTCCCTCTATTTTGCCTGCAAACTCCCTGGTTACATTCTTGCTTGCGCTGCCTTGACCTCTTTTCATCTAGCTGCTTTATATTCCCAGGAATCTCATTCCTGACCTTCCTGCAGCGGCAGAGCTACTGTTGCCAGCATCGCCAGGGGACTTCTGCCTTGCTCACCTTTTCCTGACTCGTCTGTTCCTAACCAGCTCTATATTTGATGATATGCGTATACTTATTTCTACTTGATTTTCAACCTGTTTGGGGCTCTCTTTTAACTCTGGCTGCTTTTTCACCTTATTCTTCACAACCTGACAGGATGAATCAGAGAACCACAGAAATCCACTTAGCAAAGGAATGTAAGAAAAGAGGGATCTAAGGGAGGTACTGAGAGATACTGGCAGTGACTGAAGGAAGAAGGAGCCAGAGCCCTTTCCGCTCATACTCGCTCCACCCGTGTGAGCTGCCCTCCGCACTCTCCTCCCTCACTGTGTGCTACACGTGGCTCTCCCCCCGTCTCCCTGGTCACCTCTACGGTCTCTACTCACAACATGCTTGAACTGTGAGGCTTATCAGGGGCTATCTGAAAGCCCTGGAGACATATTTTAGAGAGAAAACAGAAATTAACTACTCCATGGACATTCACATAGCACCTGAAATAGTTACCTATTGCACTTCCAGGTGAAGCTGGGGAAAGGCTGGCATTTCAAGCGCATGTGTATTCCAGATGCCTTTGCCATCCATGTCTCCCATATCCCTCTATAGTGTCTTTATCACAAGATGTGCAGAGAAAAGTCTGATTTATGTATATGGACACTGAACTCTTGCTGAAAGTAGATCTGTGTAGGTTCTCAGATGACAGAAGGACAAATCAAAGAAGTTGAAATATATATGCATAGGGAAAAAACCCAACCCCCCCAAAACCCAGCCTAAGGAGTAAGAGAAAGAAAATAAAGGACAAAAAATTGTGACCTCTCAGTTCTGGGGAAGGCTTGGCTATTCAGAGCATAGGTTGAAAACAGTCCCATCACTCCAGTGAGATATTAAACAAATTTAAACATGTATCTGAAAGACTGGTTACTTTAAAACTTAGCCCAGATGTTTCTATAGTTCTTTCAAGATTAAAAGAAACAGCAGTATAATGGGATAGATTATACATTGCAACTAAAAGGAGGGAATAAATGCTAGCAGCAGTTTTACAGTATTCTGATAATTAGTGAAAGATCACAAGCTTATTGTATAAGCCTGGTTCATGCCTGTGCACACAGACCTCATCTTTGTGAGATGTCCAGTCAGATCAAAAAGCCGCTTTGTGGACCCAGGAAACGCATATGAAGGGATGATCTGGTAGGTAAAGGGACAGGCTAGACTTCTTGCCAACATAAATACATTTACATTAATATCTTATCAGCATAACTAGGTCATTTGAGTGTGAGGTTTTCCATGTATTTTTTTACTAACGTAAAGTCTAGGCATACATTTCCTGGGGCAATGGAAGATCGGCTTCCTCAGTACTACAGGTTGATGTGGTGCGTGCTCCCACATGATACGGTGTGTCCACATTCACTTTAAACCCAGGCTGTGCCTGGACTTGGCAAGGCCCTAGAAGCACTTTAAAATAGATGCAGATCAACCATCAAATGAATGTTACTTATGATTCCCCAAGCCAGTATCAGATATGTAGGTATGGCTCAGTTCCAATCATTAGGTTTTACTGATGCATCTTTTCCAGTTTCATTATATCAGCAGAATCTTCCAGGGCACATCTGTACGGTAGTTTAAGGTACATAGGCAATGCCCGCCCCAGCGTTAAACTAGCTGTTCATGTTTAGCATGTTCAGTTAACATGCTCATACTACACAAAACACAGGAGCACAGGACAGAGCTTTCTGAACTACTGTCAGCTTTCGCTGGGACAGCCACGGAGTGTCATGCAGAACCATCTAGAGATGCTAGCTTAGCTCACAAATCAGTGTGGTTTCTCCAGAGCTGTGTTAAACCTGAATCTCTAAATTCTACCTCTTAGCAGAGCTGTTTAGTTTGTGGGGTGGTGTTGAGAATCAACTAGATGAATCCCTGAGAAACCTGATATAATTAAGCCTGCTTTGAGCAGGGTATTTGACTAGATGACCTCCAGAGGTTCCATCCAGTCTAAATTGTTCTATGAGTCAATGCTGATGCACCTATATTGCATCCAGTTCTAGTATTAGTGTCACCTCTATACTATGCTCCATGAAATAAAGCTAGGACTGCCCTTAGATTGAACAAAAAAAACAGTTGCATGGGTGCATTGTGGGCTAGCTGGCTAAATGCCTAATCTAAGGGAGCCGGTGCACTTTGCGTAGTGGTCCATGCTGTTCCTGAGACAGCTACAGCAAAGCTAACTTCATCATGTACATATGCTGCAATCTTACCTCCAGGTATGCAGTGTGTGTGGTCTGAGTAATTCTCTGATACCCAGAGAAATGAGAAAACTTCAGGTTCTTGGTTTAAGTAAGAAAGAATGAGTATTTGATCCTGGTGTGTGAAGAGAGCACCTCATTTGCCAGAGCAATGAAAGCAGCACGGTGTTTCCAGATTTAGAATGTACTAGATTCTTTTGATAATGCTTCAGTAAATAAGACGATTGCATTGAAAGGACTATTAATGATTGTTTTCTCAAGTGTGGCCCAGGTCTGTGGATGGAGTGTCAGCAAGGAGCAGTTCTCTGACAAGCAAACAAGCTGACGGTGTTTAGAAACTCCCTTAGAGACACGGGTCCTTTGTTTCGTTTCTCACTCCACAACATGACAAAGAGGAAGAATTTAGGTGGAGCTGATATAAATTAGGGAAAACATACCATAATCTTCCTTCAGTTTTCATCCTAGGAACATGAAGGACAGGGTCGTAAAAACGATGAAGAGCATGCTCCTTCTCCTCATTTTGCTGAGAGTAGTGTCTGGTAAGAACATGATTTCATTACGCTGCTAAAATTAGAACACTGTTGGCTGTTACGCTTTCTCTTGGGAGCTTTATAGACATATTTAGGGATCAGACACGGATGGAAAAAATCAAGTAACAATTATTTTCCTACTGAAATGGATTGAGCTCTGTGGTTACAACAGTATAATGAAGACAAGAATATGACTCCTTGCTAAAACACTTTGCTGGATGAGGCACTTTGTGTGCAGTAGCCACTGCTCAGTGTGACAGTGTTGGACTGGGAAAGGAGGTCAACTCTCCAGGAAACAATGTCTAGTATTAATACTCCCGTAGTCTCCTTTCAAATATTGATAACATTTCTCTTTGATGAAGTAAAACAAGCAACCAAACAGGACTGAACAGGAAAACACTTGTGGAGAATATTAGTAGGGTAATATCACTGTCTTTGTCCAGTGTCAAAACATGGGAGATTTGCCCATATGAATATGTGCACGTTAGCAACTTAAGGTAGATCTTCAAACTGCAGTCTGTGTGGCTCATGGAGCACTTAGTGTTGCTTGTAGCAAGCTAGCTGCTCAGGTAGGGTCACTGCTCTCAAGGAACTGAAAGAGTTCTGCCAACCCTCAGGAACCTGTCAGTATTTGGTAGTTTTCCTGATGTCCCCAAAACTGTGATCAGGGCACTGCATGTGAATCTCAGCTTTCCTTGAAAAATAGTGTTTTTCTAACCTGCATGGTTGCGGAGAGAGAAAAGCTTGAAGGTGTGACTCAAGCACACTGTAAAGACTAACAAATCACAGCTAAATAAGACTTAAATATACATATACTTCTCAAAGCCAGTATCATGATTGCTTTGTCTTGGACTCAGCATTTGTCAATGTTTGGGGTTGGTAATTCTGATAAATGTACTAAATTGCTTCAGGCATGTTTTGTTCTCCGAAGTAAGGAGGTGAGCAAGGACTTGTGAATATGGAAGGAGAGCTTTTGTAAAATCGATTGGAAGAAGAAGAAGCCATTTAGATGCAGTACTGAAAAATTCAGTTAAAAATAAGGAGCAAGAAGTAAGAACTTGTGATTTAGAAAGACAAATCCTGAATAAACAGCCAATGAAATCTTTAGAGATAATATAAAAATAGCAACTCTTTTCTTTCTACATTTCTAGATGTTATAAATTATTTAATTGATTTTATGAATGGTTTCCATTAATGAACTGTGGCTTGCTGAGGGAGCTGGATTCATCAGGTACTGTCCCCAGGAGATTATATTCAAAGTTCAGCTCCACTTATGGAACTGTATCCCCAGAAGCTCCTCTCAGCCCAGTCTCATTTGCATGGGCGATTTTTATTGATGATGTTTTCCAGAATCTATAATAACATATTGATAAAAACTCAGTCCTTCAGTGGGTCCTGCTTCCACTGACATAAACCAGCAACAGCTCAGCTGAACTCAGTCCTACCGGAGTGTCAGTGTGACCTGTTCAGATTAACTCTTACAGGCAGTTCCCACCTCACAGGCTCCCACATCCCAGCCTGTACCTCACCCACCTGCAGATCATCTCCAAGACCTTTTGTTCCATGAATGCCAGAGTAATCCCAGCCATATCAGTGATCCATGGACCTGCTGTATCTGGAGTGTGGGAGCATGGGAACGTCTGTGCAGCTGTGGAGAGGCTCCGGGGAACTGCCTCAGCTCTGCCTCTTACCAGTGAGGCCCTGTGCTCAGAAGAGGTCTTCCCAGGGGCAAACTCTCCCACCACAGCCTAGTATGGCTGGTTACATGAACAACACCCCTGGGCTCCCTCCTTCTCCTCCCCATGATGCAGTGAGTCTTGCAGGCTGCAAGAGGAAGAACTGGAGGTGTCTGATGGAGTCACACTGCTCTAAGAAGTGCTCCAGCCAACACTGCAAGGCCAAGTGCCTCCTGGGGTGGGATGCGGGAAGAAGGGAGACCGTTCGACTCCATGCTTTGTCTTGTGGACTCATCTACTGCTATTAGTTTTTTTTCTCATATAGCAAAGGCACTGGGATCCTACGTCTTCTCTGATCCTATGGGGAACAGTTATTTGAGAGGCCAGTAATAGGAGCCATGTCTATCACACAAAGGCCATATGTGGGCTATCCCTAAAATGCTCCAAATT